CGCCATTTGTCTCTCCCTCGCATCTCCGTTCCATTAGTTATAATCCGCGGCTCCCAGACTTTATCGAACAATGGCCCGTGTCGCCTCCCCCTCTCTTTCGCTCGTCTCCAGGACACGATGTTAAGCCTACGGCCCACATCGAGCTGTTTAGCGAATGATGGAGGACCGATACGCGAGGAGGAGGAGGAGGAGGAGGAGGAGGGGGTGATATCGATTCGTTCTCTCTTCCAGTGATTCTTTCTTTCTTTCTTTTCTTTTTTTTTTTTTTTTTTTTTTCGTTTTCGATGCAACGTTGCGTGTCGGTAGTCCGCGAGACGACGGGCCGCGAGGATTTATTATCGTGGAAGATTTAACGTCGTGTCTCGTGTTCGAACGCGGTACGCTTCTCCCTTGATTGATTTCGTTCTCCCGGGTACCGGTTTTTGAAACGGAAAAAAGAAAAAGGAATAAAAAGAAGGAGGATGAGTTTAGAAAGGGGGAAAAAGTCTCTCTCTCTCGAGAGAGAGTAGTTTCGTAAGGAATCTGTATTTGGTTCGATCCAAGTAGTGGGGGAGAAGGATTAACGCTTATTTTGCATAAACACGTTTTACTCGTTTCGAGTGTACGGATAGATCGATCGATAAGTCAAATCATTTGCTGTTTTATATATGAATCATTAACTCCGTAATCCGGTTAATTAATTATTTTCAGTAGTTGGTACGAGAAATCATAATTATACAGGGGAGCAAGCTCGATTATCTTGATTACACGTTGTCGAAGATGTTGTCTCGGTTGACTAATTCTCTAATTCGATTCTCTTAAATTCAAGGTAACGATAGTTTTCTTAAGCGAGAGATTTCGTAAACGATAACAAGACAATCGAAATCCCCTGTTAACGAAAGACTACGTGGCAAATTTGAAGAAAGAGGAGAGCAATTGATACGTATCCTCGTCGAGGAAAGGCAATTATTGTGATCGAGTCCGCCATTTCCAATCATGCAGCGCGTTTTGCAACCTCCAACCTCCTCTCTCTCTCTCTCTCTCTCGTTTTCATCGAATCAACCGTTATCCCCGATTGTAAGACCCAGTTTCTTTTCTTTCGATTGTGAAACACGCTCGTAGAAAGGAGAAAAGAGGAGGGGCACCAAATTCCCTGTTGGTAAATTGCACGATACCCGAGGAAGCGGGTGAAATACTACGGTTACTTTATCCAGCCCTCCGTTGTCCCCAATTAAACGTACAACCGCCCACGCAGCCCGCTATTTTATCGCACGGGGCGTTGAAACGTAATCGATGTCGCGATAACATCGGCGAGGCCGGTGCCGCGGATCGATTCCGAATCGGCAAAAAGGCGATTCCCGGTGAAAAAGGAGGCGTTTTACCACCCCGTTCGACCTTAATTACGGATCGTAAAAGAAAAGCCTCGATACACTCCCGCGTGAACGAGGTGAAAAAAGAGGAAAAGAGAGAGAGAGAAAGATAAATATATATATAAAAAGAAAAATACGAACAAATTCACAAATATCATCGAGAAGACCGATCAAACGATGGATAATCCGAGATAAGGGAGAGAGAGAGAGAAAAACAGAGAAAGAGAGAGAGGGATAAAGAAGAGGAGAAATAAAAAAAAAAGAGAGACGAGCGGTGGGGAAGAGCGGTGGTGGAAAAGCGATGCTTATCCGCCGTGGAAATATGCGTGCGGCGATAGGGGAGAAAATACGAGCGGCGTATCCTGTCCGGACGAAACGTTAATGTCAGTTAATTATCTGTAAAACGCCCGGGGCGGGGGCGTTCGTTTTGGAAAGCTTGTAACGCGTGGGCGCGGCCCGCGTGTTTTTTGGAATCGGGAACAGGCCGACGGAATTTCTCTCGTTG